GCGCCTGGTAGCCTAGTCTTTCATCTATTCCAAATCTTGGTGAGATCGGGTTTTGCATGACAAGGTATCTGTCCCCTTCTGGATCCAGTCCTGTGAGAGAGAAGACTAAAAAAAACAGCGACAAGAAACGAAAACATCTCGATAAGTCAGTGAAGATAGGGAGAGAATGTACTCCAATTCATTGAGGGAAGGTTGAGGGTTTAGGCAGAACTATGACCTGATTCGTGCTATGTTGTTTTCAGAGGGAAACCAGAACTGGTGAGATACAACCTTAGGACAGTGGGTGAAGGTCTTGTAGACAAATCTGTTTTAGCCCATTGGAGAACTTTCTACCCAGCTGCTCACATGTAGAATAAGTTGGCAAGGTTTCAAGTTAGGTAATTATCTGGGAAGGAACTAGAACATTGAATGCTGTTGTTCTTTTTGATGATTGAGTTCTTTTAATTCCTGAAAATCTAGGAGGCTTATCCCCCCAATTTTAACCAACTTTAGCTTTTAAGAGGCTTATGCCCCTGATTTTAACCAATTTTAGCTTTTGAAGATAACATTCTAATTTTATTCTTTCTATCTTACCTCTACTAATACCTTATTTCTTTCTCTATCTTTAGTTCCACATTTTGTCAAAAGGAAAGTTTTATGTCTCTATTTTCCTGCCTCTCTGCAACTTGGTACAGTTTGCTCTTGTGCTTATTATTCTGTTGAACTGGCCCCAGCCAAGGTCATCAATGGAACTCCATTTTGAAAGTTTGTGGCTAATAAGCAACTAGTATCTTATTCTGCCTCTTGGCAGCATTTTCTTTCATATATATATATTATTGATTTTTTTACAGAGGAAGGGAGAGAGATAGAGAGTTAGAAACGTTGATGAGAGAGAAACATTGACCAGCTGCCTCTTGCACATCCCCTATCGGGGATATGCCCGCAACTCTTGGCAGCATTTTCAACTCTCATTCATCCCTCCTTGAAAACCTTAGCTTGGTTGGCTTCTGTGAGGTCTTTATGTTTTCCTCCTAACGTTTGGACTGTTCCTTCTCCATCATCTTTTGTAGTTCCTCTGACATTTGTCTCATTACATTCCCCTGAAGTTTCTATTCTGTTGTGAGAATAAAAGCTCTTCACATTCAAAGAAAAAGACAGACAGTTTTATAGCCATGGTAACAAGTAAATTCCTTGAATGGTTTTGAACCTCTCACATTGATCAGTGGAACTTGCTTCAGTGAACACACTTCTGAAATTCAAATTATCAGTGACAGCATTAAGCTTTGAAAGCCAGCCGGTTGGCTCTGGGTTCACCTAAGTCAGTGGTCGGCAAATTCATTAGTCAACGGAGCCAAATATCAACAGTACAACGATTGAAATTTCTTTGGAGAGCCAACATTTTTAAACTTAAACTTCTTCTAATGCCACTTCTTCAAAATAGACCTGCCCAGGTCGTGGTATTTTGTGGAAGAGCCACACTCAAGGGGCCAAAGAGCTGCATGTGGTTCTCGAGCCGTAGTTTGCCGACCATGGGCATAAGTGAACACACTTCTAAGTTGCCATCAACCCACCTCTACATCTGTAATCAACACCACCCCTCTAAGATGCTTCCCCCAAATGTTGTATAAGTTCAGCTCTTTGCTCTGCTTAAAGAGCCCATGCCTGACCAGCATGACTTTCTTTTATTTAAGAAAGTGGTCATTTCATCATTTTGGTTTCAAATATTGAGTGATAATTTTATCCTTTGACAATTTTCTTCTTTTTTCCTTGCTTCCACCCATCTTCTCACAACAGCAAAGCTTAGGGTCTGGAGAAAAGTGTTGGTTCTGACCTTTGTTTCTGGCAGGATAATGGTCTAAAAACCCAAATTAACCCTCCTATTGAAATATCTCAATCTAAAATAATTACTTGAATGATACAAAACAACTTCTTAGGCATCCTTGGCCTTGAAAAAAAGAGTAAAGAATGATAGTCAAGTGAAACCAGGTGCTTTTCTGAGGGCAAAAACTGAAGAATTTGCTGAGTCCAGTGAACTTGAAGCTTTGGTTTCCGTGGCTTTGGCCAGGGTAGAGGTGGAAGGCAGGGAAGAGGAGACAGTTCTGAGGGTCTGAAAAACTGAGTCTGGTAGGAGACTTCTACATAAACCTCAGTCCTGAGAGGGTTATATATGCTGTGGAAGTAAGGGTAAAACAGACACAACACTCGTCTTTCACCAGATGTTTCAAGGACAATTGCCTGGTCTTGAACCTTTGTACTCAATATGTAGAAAAAAATCTCCACTAAGAATTTAGAACTGCCAGCTGGCTTTCACATGGTCTCTTAGCCTAAACTCATGGTATATGAATGGTCTGGGGGGGGGGGGGGGAAATCCAGCTGATATTATGCTAAGTGAAATAAGCCAGTCAGGGAAAGTACCACATGACCTCACTTATTTGTGAAATATAATAAACAACATAAACTGATGAACAAAAATAGATTCAGAGACATAGTAGCATCGAACAGACCATCTGACCTCAGAGGGAAGGCAATGGAGGGTAGAGGATGGAGGTAGGGGTAAGAGATCAACCCAAGGACTTGTCTGCATCACATATAAGCTTAACCAATGGACACAGATGAAAAACGGGTGAGGGCCTGTGCTGGAGGGCAGGGGCAGGCTGGGAGAGGTCAATGGGGGAAAAGGAGACATATGTAAGACTTTCAACAATAAAGAATTTTAAAAAAAATCCAGCCGATGATTTAGTTTAAAGTTGTCCCAACAATAGAGCCAAAGATACCCGACAGAAGTAAATGAAGAGATAGTCCTGGAGGTCAGAACTCAATTAATCTACTCAGATAAAATTCCAAGAAAAATGCACAGATCAGAAAACATGCAAGGCAATGAGGCACCATGAATTAAAGATAGCAGAAACCACAGACCAGAGATTCAGATGTTCAAAAGCTTTACATATTAGAAGTATTAGTAATATTAATAAGCTTTTGAAAAAATGAATTCATGAGTATTAGTATTAGCAGCAGCAATTAAGTATTAGCAGCAGCCCAAGAAGCAGCCCAAGCCCTAACCAGTTTGGCTCACTGGATAGAGCATTGGCCTGCGGACTGAAAGGTCCTCAGTTCGATCCCGGTCAAGGGCATGTACCTTGGTCGTGGGCACATCCCCAGTAGGAGGTGTGCAAGAGGCAGCTGATTTATGTTTCTCTCTCATCGATGTTTCTAACTTTCTACCTCTCTTCCTTCTTCTCAGTAAAAAATCAATAAAATATATATTGAAAAAAAGATAGCTATTTTAGAAATGATATGTTCAAAACTGAGACTTAAGGTCTGCAACGTATAAATAAACTGCAGAACCAGATGGCTTAGATGCCTAGGGGCCCTGCTTTACTGCCTGTCTTTCACCACACATGAATGGGGTCACAAGGAGAACTTACGGTTGGTGAACAGAGGAGGAAAAGCCAGAGCGTGTTTGTGGAGCGGTTTACACGATGCTGGCATCAGCCAGAAGTGCTGCGTTAACAGCCTGGTTTAAAAGGGCCCTGAGATTTGACAGTGAATAAGGAAAATCCTTCCCAGAGAAAGAGGGATGGCCTAAGGCAGTGGTCGGCAAACTCATTAGTCCACAGAGCCAAATATCAACAGTACAACGATTGAAATTTCTTTGGAGAGCCAAATTTTTTAAACTTAAACTTCTTCTGACGCCACTTCTTCAAAATAGACTTGCCCAGGCCGGGGTATTTTGTGGAAGAGCCACCCTCCAGGGGCCAAAGAGATGCATATGGCTCTCGAGCCGCAGTTTGCCAACCACGGACCTAAGTTATAGATCCACAGGAATTCATGGACAGTGATAACGGGTTGACTGGTAGGTTGTTCTGGGTCTCAGAAAGGACAAGGTAAGATTTATAGCAACGAGGTGTGTGGAAGAGTTATGTGAATGGACCTCTCTGAAGAGCTTGGGGTGTGAAGATATTTAACTTGAAAAAAATTTATAAATTTAATTTTTAAATTAAAAAAATTCTCAGTTATGGTTGACATTCAATATTGTTTTATATTAGTTTCAGGTGTACAGCATAGTGGTTAGACATTTATAATTTATGAAGTGATCCTCTCACACCACACAAAGTTATTACAATATTATTGATTTCATTCCCTGTGATGCACTTTCCAACCCCCTGACTATTTTGTAAAAACCAGTCTGTCCTTGATATTTTTATGCCATCAGGAAGACAAATGAAGTTCTCAGAAGCCAGGTGGACAAAATGGCCCATCCTTCACCCACCATGAAGAGGCCCACTTTCAGATTCCATGTGTGATCCAAGTGTGGTCAGAGAAATGTGCCTATGAGGCCAGCCTTTCCACAGTTTCTATTCCAACCTTGAAGCAACTGGGAGAAAAGGAGTCCTTAGGGCTCATACCCGGGCCAGGTTCCTATAGTGAGTGCTAACAGAGAGATTTGGAGCCAAAGTTAGCTTTCACCTGAGGTGTCTGCTGCTATACAGAACACTCTTAGAGTTCTAAAAACTACTCTGGTAAATGCAAGGATTTCGAATTTTGATTGTGACAATTTATGCTGCTACCAAGAGGCAGGACTGACACAAGGGATGTCTCTGGAATCCCAGACCACTTCTGAAGAAGACAGAAGGACAAATGGAAAGATTCAGGTTGGCATACTTAACTAAGTGAGTAAGGCTGTACATACTAGTAAGTCACCAGCAGACAAAGGGCACGAAAACTGGTTCAGACCTGTCATGGAAATAATCAGACATTTCACAAAAAGTGCTGAGGAATTTATCACTGCCAGTGTTGGAAAGTTTTGGGCTTCCTTACACAGCTGTGGTTTTTTTTTTTTTTTTTTTTTTTTTTTTTTTTTTTTTTTTTAAAATCTAGAATTACACACTGACGGAAGGCAGAGTGTCTCACCGTGGTATTTTCAAATACTTTATCTATAGGCTTTAGTCCATCACTCTGAAGACAGGTGAGTGACAGCAGAGAGGAAGTCGTGAGCTTTAACAAACTGGTGGACTAGTCACCTAAGATACCACCTGGTCAGATAGTTCATCTTCTGTATCGCTGTAATAGTACACAGGTGTATGGGGTGGTCCTGTTACAATGTAATCCATAGGATGTGTGTTAAAAACTGCATATTCTGGTAGAGGAGAAGTCCTAGGCACCATGTGGATGTCCAGGTCGTCCTTGCCTTTATGTTTGCGAACACAGCACACGCGACCCGATTGGGACTTACATCCTGGTTTTATCTCTTCATTAGCATCACAGCTTTTTTTGCAGTGCCCGGCTTGTTTAAGGCATTTTTTGGCACCTAATTCTGAATAATAAAAGGAAAGACCATTTTACAAGCATGCCAATATATTTGACATCCCATAACAACTTCATAGGTCATAATTAGACCATGGCTACAAGCTCAGGGTTGGTAAATATCATGTTTCTAAGGATATTTGTTCCCAAACCTCCTATTGGCCAAATTTCTTGTCTGAAGGTGAGATGAATCTTACCATAAAAGAGAAGAAACTTGCCAGTCACAAGGAATGGGAGCCAGTTTTAAGGAAGCTACAGGGCCTTGTGTGAAACTATCCACAAAGTTCATCTTGTTGTCACTGTGATTGAGCAGGCCTGATGGCAGCTGGATGGCTTGGCTTCCTGGCCCTATGGGCACATTAAGATTCAATCATGAGCCAAGACTGGTTTGGCTCAATGGATAGAGCGTTGGCTTGGGGACTGAAGGGTCCTGGGTTCAATTCCGGTCAAGGGCATGTACCTTGGTTGCAGGCATATCCCCAGTAGGGGGTGTGCAAGAGGCAGCTGATTGATGACTCTCTCTCATCAATGTTTCTAACTCTCTATCTCTCTCTCTTTCTCTCTGTACAAAATCAATAAAATATATTAAAAAAAAAAGATTCAATCATGAAATTCCGGCAAAGATAGTCAGTTACCATTCCTGTTGTGTTTATGCAAACCATCAGGCCAAATTGAATACAATAGTTAAACTGGTCTTAATTTAGCTCTTTTAATAAACACAGAAGTAATTTTAAGTAGAAAAATTCTATTTCAATGGAGGTTATTAAAATGAAATGTTTTCTTTTCCTTCCACCAGACCATTTGTTACAGTTTGTCTCTGCCAGGTCACAAGCCCACCTCTTTCTGTGCCCAAGCCTCATCGTCCCTCTGACAGACAGCGAGGATCTCTTGGCTCTGAAAAAAAAAAATTCTGCCCCTCTTCAGCATGGAAGTATCCAGAGAAAGCCCAATGATGTCTATTTTCCCTAAAAGAATTCAGAACCAGGATCCTTGAAGTAATATATTAGGCAGTTAGACAGACATGAGCAGAGCAAAGACAATGGGCCAACTAGCACTACCAAATGTAACTAAGTCTTTCCACCTCTACCTATGTGGACTCCCCAGAAGCACGAGGAAACTGGGCTGCAGATAAAGCAGCCAGGAGGTTTCCCTAAAACCAGTGAGGCCTCTACAGATTCTAGTGACTCTTCCAGACCCTGACCTACCCACTCACCAGCTTACTCAAAAGCCTAATCTAGAAAAGCTGAACTCCATAACCAATTTTTACTCAAGTTCTTACTGGCTTTACAGTCCACCCAGAAAGCAGTCCAGAAGCACATCCAAGATGCTCTGCCTATACTAACTTCTGATCTGGTCCATCCCTTCCAACCTGGTGACTCTTTGGGTAAAGAAATTTGCCACACAGGAACAACTCCTACCTAAAAAGGACCACCCCCATGGCAGTCAAGGTTGATGGGATCTCAAGGTGGCTTCATCATACCTGGTTTAAGAGCCCAGGCAAAATAGAGAGTCCAGGACTCTTTGGACCCTCTAAAGATTACTCCTAGCCCTCATTCTGGGTCCTTATCTTATAAACTGGCTTACTGACTTTATTTGGCAGAGAATTAATTTTATCAAGCTTATAGTCCTCAGGGGTCATATAACTCCCTCCCCAGCAAAGACCCAAAAGAGTCAATGATTTGACTCATGTACATAAAACTAATGGGGAATGAAGCATCCATCTTACATAAAAAACAAACAAACAAACAAAAAAAACCCCTGCTGTTTGAAATTTTAACCCTGCTATTTTGGCTTCTATAAATGCTTGCTTGCTTAAATAGTAAGGAAAATAAGATTACTCCCATTCCAGAGAGGCCATAAACTATGTCCCAGACAGAGTCGTCAGTTGTCAGTGCTGCCACCAGGCCAGGCCTTGAGATATAGTCTCCCGGCCCCTTCCCAGCATGCAGACCTTCTTTCTTAGAAGGCCTGGAAGTCTCATTCCAAATTTGGGAGAGAAAAGACTGGAAAAAGTATAAATAGAGAGTTTCCTTTATGTTGGGAGGCCCAGAATTTGAAAGATTCAATTTTCTCTGGGCCTGAACATAATAAAATGTAACTCCCTTTCCCTAAGCATTGCTTGTTTTTTCTCCAGTATTCTGTAACAATCCAACATTAGAAAATATTTTAATGAGATTCACCACCTTTACAGAATTAAGGAGATAAATAATAGAATTATGTTATTAATACAGAAAAGTTATTTTATAAAATTCAATGTTTATTTATAATGAAAACTCTATGCAAAGCAAGAATAGAGGGAATTTTCTTAATTTGGCAAAGGTTAATCATCAAATTCTAAAATTAACATTTTTAATGAAGAAAATAATAATATCCATGAGGTCAGAAAAATAAAATACTCTCTATTATTGCTTTAAAATAATAGTGGTGGACCTGGTCGTCAGTGTTCAAAAGAAAACAGAAGTATGAGGATTGGAAAGGAAGAGGTAAAATTGTCATCCATTCTAGCAATTATGATTATAATATTAAAAAGGGACTAACAAATTATTTTAATAAATATGAGTTCAATAACTATGCCAGATGCAATATTACCTTAAAAGAATCAATAGCAGTTCTCAACACCAACTATAACTAACTAGGAAATAAAATAGATAGCATAGCTATGAAGTAACTTAGATATAAAGAATATCTAAGACCTCTATGGGTTATATTTTAAAACTCTCACAGAAAAATGTGATCTTAGATAGAATGCCTTAATTATTATATATGTTCACTTTTCCCTAAATTAATCCATAAATGTGATGCAATGCTAATCAAAATCCTAGTGGGATTTTTTTTGGGGGGAGACTTGATTATTTTATTTTAAAATTTGTAATGAAGAATAAAGACCACAGATAGCTAAGATTATTATTATTATTTTTTAAAGCAACACAGCTCTAACCGGTTTGGTTCAGTGGATAGAGTGTTGGCATGTGGACTCAAGGGCCCAGGTTTGATTCCGGTGAAGGGCATGTACCTTGGTTGTGAGCACATACCCAGTAGGCAGTGTACAGAATGGCAACTGATTGATGTTTCTCTCTCATCAATGTTTCTAACTCTCTATCCTTCTCCCTTCCTCTCTGTAAAAAATGAATAAAATATATTAAAAAGAAAAAAGCAAGACAACCGAATGCCTTGTATGCATGCATATAAGCATAACCAATGGATATAAGACCCTGGAAGTGGGGGGGAGGGGAAGGGGGAAGTGCAAGTACCAGGTGGAGGGGAGACTAAGAGAAGGTCAATGGGGAAAAAAAGGAAACATATGTACTACTATTTGTAATACCTTAAACAATAAAATAAAAAGCAAGACAAAGGCTTGTCCTTCTAAATATCGACAGACTGTAAAGTCTGTTTCAAAAAATAAAGTATTGTTACAAGAACAAGTAGACTAGTAGAACAGAACAGACAGTTTGAAACAGATACATGCTTAAACGGGGAACTTAATATGCAATAACAATGGAGAAAGCATGGGTTATTTAGCATACAGTGTTGTGAAGCCTGGTTCAGTCCATGAGAAAAATAAAAGTGTCTTTATACATTCTGTTTGGTGTCTTAAAGATCTAAACATGAAAGGCAAAGCTAAAAAGTTATTGAAAGATAATGTCAGAGATTCTAACTGAGACATAAGAATGGGGAAGAACCACCAAGGCAATGTTGAATTTGATTAGATCAGAATTATGTATTTTTGTTCAATGAAAGACTGACATATTCTGTGGAAAATTCATGGACAGTTCATGACAGATTTGGGGATAATATGCCCAGTTATTAAAGATGACTAGGGAATAATATAAAAAATAAAAATCTCCTGCCCTGGCCAACCAATGTGACTCAATTGGTTGAACATCTTCCCGTCCACCAAAAAGTTGCCGGTTCAATTCCTGATCAAGGCACATACCCAGGTTGTGGGTTCAATTCCCAGGACAAAGTTTGAGATGGGAAGGGAAGTAATAAAAGAGCTCATTGAGAAGGAAGGGAGTGAGCTATGAGATTAACTGGGGAAGGCGTGCACCAGGCAGAGAAAGCCCGGAGCTTTTGCACAATAATAAGGTGTCTGTGGTGACCGCACAATAAATTATGTGGAAAATAGCTGAAGAAATATAATGGAGGTTGAGATCACAGAAGGAAGTCATTCAGATATTATGATCACAGGATAAGAGAAATGCCAATGAAAACAGCAGTGTACTATTGTATAGCCATCAGACTGCTAAAAATGTTGGAGGGAGTGTGGTGACACGGTAAGTCTTGTGCACTACTAGTGAGAGGTATGAAATTTCACTGTCCCTGTAAATGGCACTGATTTTTTTTCTTCTTTCTTATGTGTAGGGGCTGTCCAAGATAAAATATGAAGACTTGATGCTTCTTTTATCATCTCAACTACTCTCTCCAAGGGGATTGCCCCAAATGTATATCTCCTACCAGAAGAGTCAGACTTGAAACCCCAGAATATGTAGTATTTCCTTCACTACCCTCATGTTCTGAGTTTCCATGATTCAAGGATTGCTTTTACAAAATCTTGTACCTCTTTCTCTTTCCTAGTCTCAACACCTCCATGTGAACCGAAAGCAAACACCATCTATCCCACATAGACATATTGAACTGAAAGCAAACACCATCTGTCCCACATAGACAGAAAAATTATTGAAAACATGAACAGCTAACAATTTCTATTGACAGTGTCTTAAAAGACTATAAGGGAGGACTTTGTGGAATAAAATACTTTACACTTACTTTTACCCTGACCTCAAGGACTCTATTCTATATAAATCCTTGTCCAAATATGTATGGATACTTAATAAGTATGTTCCCAGATGCGTTGTTAGAAAATTAGATAACTCCCAAATGATTTTGCATAAATTATCATACAGTGGAATTTTACAAAGAATAAGCCAGATCTTTAGGTGTTAACATGAAAAGTTGGTCACAAAATATTATTAAGTGAAAGGAGAATGCTGCATAACCATGTATATAGCATGTTATTTAAAAAAAAATATATATAATATCAGAGAAGAAGGGAGAGAGATATAGAAACATCAATGATGAGAGAGAATCATTGATCAGCTGCCTTCTGCACACTCCTTCTTCTCTACTGGGGATTGAGCCCACAACCTGGGCATGTGCCCTGACCGAGAATTGAACCAAGACCTCTATCTGGTTCAACCACAACTGAGCCACAACAGTGGGGCACATGCTACTCTTTTATAGAACAGAAACATAAGTTCATTTTTATATGACTTTGTTCATACATTGAAATGTATCTTGAGAAATATACAACATAGGAGGGAGCGGAGTACTTTAAATAAGAAACTATTCAGGTCCACTTCAACAGCAACTTCTCAGGCCTGGGCATGACTTCAGGTATACTTTAAAAAGCAGTGATGTTAAAACCCTAGACTTACATCGCTATATTTCAATACAGTTATGCAGATATTTTATGACCTGTTTGCCAAATTCTAGAATATGAAAAGAAGAAGAAGAACTTCACGTAAAGCTATAACTGGACTTTTAGGACCAAGAAAAACAGGAAAGTGGGCTCTAGGAATCATTTTCAAGAGCTGGCACAAGCTGGAAAGAGAACTAAAGCAGTTAAGCTCTCATCTGGCTCCGTAGGTGGCAACTTGGAATTTACCCAGAGACGCCTCTGGGAGTTGGGGTGGCCTCTGTCTAGTAAAGAAGGGCTTGTCCTGCCCTTCCTTACGTTCTACACCCGCCAGGGACGTGGTCTCAGGCCGAGGGGTACAGTCACACATCGGCCCTTCTGCCTCTATTTCTGAAGTTCCCGGGGTTCCGATTACCTGGGGTCACGCGTGGTAGGAACACAAGGACAGTAAGAGTCAGAAGCAGGAGTTTCATGGTCCTTGGGAAGTAGGCAGCAGTGGGTCCAGGAGTCCAGAACACTTTGTACAGAGTGAATCTGCACTGAAGCTTTATTGTCCTCTCCGGCACTAAACTGGACAGATAAAAGCGAATTCATGTGGAACATCAGTCTATTGGTTGGCGCATGGATTGAGCATCTGAGACAGGCACTGGTGGTCAAGCAGCTGGTCAGAAGTCACGAGCTTTGAGGGTGTGCTTGGAGATGTGACGAGTGACCGCTCCCCTGATTTCCCCAGACCTCTCATAAGGGACCTGCCTTCTCTGCTCACAGTCCCTCTCACCCCAGCCTATGCCTGCTTTTAAACTGTCTATTTATTAGTTTGTTTACCCTCACTGGGTGTGAGATTCCTGAGAATAAGGGCTGTATCTCTCATTTTTTTAACCCCAAGGCACAAAAGCACATTCTAGTGAAGGTTTGTGGAAATAAAATACATGTCAATCTATAGTCCTAGAATCTCACATTTGTGTGCACCAGGGAAGTGACTTGCCCAAGGTAATAGAGCTGGTTTGCTACAGAGTTTGGGGGCGATAATTTATAAATAGGACTCAAAGTGGGATGGTTATCCAGTCAACAGAAATGCATCCTACTGCCCTGGCTGGTTTGGTTCAGTGGATAGAGTGTGGGCCTGCAGACTGAAAGGTCCAGTGTTCAATTCCAGTCAAGGGCATGTGCCCAGGTTGTGGGCTCTATCCCCAGTAGGGGGCATGCAGGAGGCAGCCAATCAATGATTCTTCCTCATCATTGATGTTTTTATCTCTCTCCCTTTCTCTCTGAAATCAATAAAAAACTTTAAAAAAAATATTAAAAAAACCCCACAACAACAAAAGGATATGCACCCTACTCAAGGCAGCCCCACAGTAACTTGGGATGTTACTCTTACCCCAACTGCCCCCTCCCTGCCCACCTGGCTGCTCCTAATTTCCCTTCTACCTGCCTGGTCATCCTTTAGTGCGGCCCCCCCCCCCCCCCCTGCTGACCTGTTGCCTCCAACAGTCCCTTTCTGCCGGCAGGGTCGCTCCTAACGGCCCCCACTGCTGGCTTGATCACCCACAACTGCCTCCCCCCAGTCCTGGAGGCCACTGGACTCTGGGATCATCTGCAAAGGCCTTGACATTCAGATGGCCTCTGGAATGCAGAGCCCCAGTGTGACCTCAAGAGCCAGCCTCGTCATGCACTGTTTTCTCACATTTCCATCCTTTACCAACTCCTGCTTCCTCTTGTTTACTTGATCCTAAAAGACCCAGGAAAGATTCAAAAGAGAGTGCTGATTTTTCTTTTCTGGGATTGATGACCATACCTGCGAGAACAGACAGTAGAAATCAGCAGGGCGGCCATGAGGATGAGAAAACTGGAGTGCCCAGTGTGGGCTACCTTCTAACTACTTGTAGGTTAATACTCCTAACAGGCAGAGCTCCTTTGCTGTGGAACGGCTGCTCAGAGAGGTTTAGGGTATTCTGCAACTGGTTTTGTCAAGCTGAGACTAAGTGATAGAATAAGAGGAATTTCTCCATAGGATAAAGAATAGCTCTTCTAGCTCCATCGAGGCATTTACGTTTAGTTAAAGTGTAATTTCAGACCATCCTTTGTGGTTACTTTAGGTCTCTGAGTTAGCGAGACTGCTATGCAGGCCTCCCCTGAGTTTGTCACGTCAGCATGTGACCTCTTGTGGCTCCTTTCATCCACATCATCTTCTTTCCTTCTTTCTTTCTTTCTTTCTTTCTTTCTTTCTTTCTTTCTTTCTTTCTTTCTTTCTTTCTTTCTTTCTTTCTTTCTTTCTTTCTCTCTCTCTCTCTCTCTCTCTCTCTCTCTCTCTCTCTCTCTCTCTCTTTTTGTGGTGGAAATAATTAAAATCTAATCTCTTATCAACTTTGATTATTATAATTTTACTAGAGGCCCAGTGGACGAAATTTGTGCATGGAGGCAGGGAGGGTGGGGAGGGGGGGAAATTCCCTCAGCTTAGCCTGCACCCTCTCAAATCTGGAACCCCTCAGGCGATGTCCCACTGCTGGTTTAGGCCTGATCCCAAGACAGTCGGACATCCCTCATAATCCTGGACCACTGGCTCCTAATCGCTCACCTGCCTGTCTGCCTGGTTGCCTCTAGCTGTCCACCCCCCCCCCCCCCACTGCTGGCTGATCTCCCCTTACTGCCCACCCTGCCGGCCTAGTTGCTCCTAACTGCCCCTCACTGCTGGCCAGGTTACCCCCAACTGCCCCCTCCCTGCCCACCTGGCTGCTCCTAATTTCCCCTCTACCTGCCTGGTCATCCTTTAGTGCCCCTCCACCCCTCCCGCTGACCTGTTGCCTCCAACTGCCCCTTTCTGCCGGCAGGGTCGCTCCTAACGGCCCCCACTGCTGGCTTGATCACCCACAACTGCCCCCTTGCCCAGCCTAGTCACCCCTCACTGCCCCCACTTGCCAGCCTAATTGTCCCCCCCTGCCAGCCTGGTCACCCCCAATGGCACCCCCATTCTGCCAGCCTGGTTGACCTTGCCTGACCCCTCCCTCCCCACGCCAGCCTGATTGCCTCTTACTGCCCCTCCCCCGCTGCTGGCCTGGTTGCCCCAATTGCCTACCTGCCAGCCTGGTTTTCCCTCACAACCCCCCTGCCAGCCTTGTTGCTCCACACAACTTGCTTGTTCAGTTGTTTGGTCATACCTACCCCCTGCTGGCATGGTCACCTCATGCAGCCTGCTGTTCAGTCGTTTGGTCATCCCTCACTAACCCCCTTGCTGGCCTGGTTGTAGGCAGCCATTTTGTGAGTGCATGATGGTCAATTTGCATATTGCCTCTTTATTATATAGGATTGTCTATTTTCACTATACTGTGCATTAGATCTCCAAGACTTATTTATCTAGTAGTTGCAACTTTGAACTCCTAAACAACATTCCTATTCCCCCAGCCCCCAGCCCCTGGTAACCACCATTTTACTCTGTTTTTACAAGTGTGCCTCTTTTTGAATTTCACAGATAGGTGATATCACATAATACTTGTCTTTCTCTGACTTCTCTCACTTAGCATAATGTCTTCAAGGCCCGTTTCTGTGGTTGCAAATGGCATGGTTTCCTTCTTTCTCATGGCTGACTAATTCTATCCATTAATTCCTTGATGGGTAGATTATTTCCATATCTTGGCTCTTGTGGGAAATACTGCAATAAACATGGAAGTGCACATATCTCTTTGTTGTTGTTTTTTCTTAAATATATTTTTTATTGATTTTTTACAGACAGGAAGGAAGAGGGATAGAGAATTAGAAACATCAATGAGAGAGAAACATCGATCAGTTGCCTCTTGCACACTCCTCACTGGGGATGTGCCCGCAACTAATGTACATACCCTTGACCAGAATCGAACCTGGGACGCTTGAGTCTGTAAGCCGACGTTCTATCCATTGAGCCATATCTCTTTGATATCCTGTTTTCATTTCTTTTGAATATATACCTGGAGGTGGGTATATTTTTAATTTTTTGAGAACCCTTCGTCTTGTTTTCCATAGTGACTGAACCAATTTATAGTCCCGCTAACAGTACACAAGGTTCCCTTTTTTTCAGATTCTCAACAACCCTTATTTTTTATCTTCTTGGTAACAGCCATTTTAACACGTGTCAGGTGATATCTCATTGTGGTTTTTATTTGAATTCCTAATGATTAGTGATGTTGAGCACTTTTTCGTGTTGACCATTTGTATATCTTTGGGAAAATGTCTATTCAATTTCTTTGTCCATTCTTAATGAAATTATTTATTTACTAGAGGCCCGATGCACAAAATTCATGCAAGAGTAGGCCTTTGCAGCCCCAGCTTCATCCAGATGGTTGGTCGTTCTGCTGTTGGGCCGTTTGGTCAATCTGCATTTTACACTTTTATTATTGAATTGTATGAGTTCCTTATATATTTTGGGTATTAACCCCAAAACTTAAAGAGTTTTTACCCTAAGCTTTCTCCTAGGAGTTTTGTAGTTAAATTTAAGTCTTTAATTCATTTTAAGTTAACTTTTGTGAATTTTATCCATTTCATTGTTCTTCATGTGATTATTCAGTTTTCTCAGCACCATTTGTTGAAGGAACTTTTGTTTCCCCGTTGAGTATTCTTGGCTCCCTTGTTAGATATTAGTTGGACATGTATGTGGGGGTTTAATTATGGGCTATTTATTCTATTCTATTTATTCTGTTTTTATGTCAGAGTGAAGTTTACAACAAAACATGATTTCATAATAAAAGTGATACATTTACCTGTAGCAGAATGGATTCATTTACTAATTTCACCGCAGCTGAGTTATTTGTATTTATCACACCACTGGTATAGGAATTTCAACTTCAATTGGAAATACAACTGTCACAAAAAATGATTGTTCTAACAGGCAACAATGAAATACAGTTAATGTTTTAGTTCTCAGAAACACAGCTTTAGTAGATTATTATAGTTTCTCACAGTTGAGCTTGTGAAGACACAGATTGCTGGCCCCACCTCCAGAGTTTCTGATTTAGTATACCTGGGGTGGGGCTTGACAATTTGTATTTCTAAAAATGACAAGACAGTGATGAAAGAAACTGAAAAGGACACAAGTACCATAAATGCAAAAATATCCTATGTTTCAGAGAACAGAAGAATTAATATTGTTAAAATCTCCATGCTACCCAGAACCATCTACAGATTCAATGCAATTCCTATCAAAATTCCAATGGTGTTTTTTTTACAGAAATAGAAAAGGCAATTCTAAAATTCCTATGGAAGCACAAAAGATCCCAAATAGCCAAAGCAACCGTGAGAAAGAACAAAGTTGGAGGCATCATGCTTCCTGACTTCAAATTATATTACTAAGCTATAGTGATCAAAACAGTACAATACTGGCATAAAAACAGAAACGTAGACCAATGGGATACGTACTTTGAAAATGCACTAATTACTGATGTGCAACTGAATCACATAGAGAAATGTGAATCATCATAGAGAAAACTACTCCTGTAACCAGCACTGG